GTCAATGTTTTTCGATACCTGAAGAAGCGGTTGCTGCATTCATAATGCATGTTTTGGAGATACCTCAATCAGAGTGGCAAAAGTGCTTCGACAATTGGTTCAAACGCAAGCAAAAGTATATAGATCTACATGGGGAATATGTTGAAAAACAATAAAGTGATTTTCGATGATTAATATTTGTTTTTGTTCTCTAATCCCGAAATATAAAAGGCAACCCTCGTACAAAATAATCTTGAAAGATCCCGAATCCTTGTCTTCATACTATATGTATATTCCTGACAGTTCATATATGAAAGGTTCATAAAAGAAAAAATGACAATACAGAAAATAGCAGTCAGTAACGGTTTCTCGAGGGGCAATGTAGATGATATTATAAGAAAGAAAACATTTAGCTTAAGAATGAACGAAATCTCGACTTTTAGAACCGACGAAAACCAAGATCAACATATCTCAGTTCCATACCACCAATACAGGAAGAACTACCCAACTAGCAATTTTTAATTTTATAATGGTTGTGAAAACGTTTCGGAGAAACAAATTATAAAACTGTATTTTTCCCAGAAATGTTTTCCAAGTGTTTATAAAACAGCTATAAATAGGAAATTGGCACCATTTTATAAAACATTATAGTCTTTAATAATATTTTGTAACGCCTTTTGCAAACACTACAAAACATTTCTGCAGTTACTATAAAATTTTTCTAACACTCTTAAAAAGTAGTTTCGTGAATAAACTTTTAAAATAATTGAAATACAATTTTATAACAGTGTTTTAGTAATTCCAAGTAAGCGTTATAAGATATAATGCAGCCTAAAGCGATAAAGATAAAATAAAAAAGTGTTCAAAATGCTTTCTTCAAGGCGCAAGAAGTAATTTTGTATTGGACACTAGGAAAATATAACAGATATGTCACCAACTAAAAACTAACAAATAGAAAAGTTGGGGCCATTTTAATATGGTAATGAAAACAAAATTGTGTTTGTAAGCATGCCAATAAAATAATTTCATTAAAGCAGTTATAAAGTAACAGTTTTAAAATAAGCAGAAGCAGTTATAAAATAATCTTGAAATAGTTTTATAAAGAGCATACAAACCTCACAGAAAAGTGCTGTAAAATTTCTAAAAAATAATTTACTTTTATAGGAAAATATGTTTTATAAGTTAGTTGTAAAAACGTTTCTGTGATAATTTCGTATCTATTTTATAACGTATTTATAATTCGATTTCATAAACGTTTCTATGTCAAATTTATAGAACACTTTTATTGTCTACAACTGTATTATGTTCATGGCACCTTTAATATAAACAATTAGCATTTTGGAAGTAATTATAAAATACCAACAAAGTAAAACTGAAGGTGGTATTTGAAACAAGTCATACACTACAGAGCCTTTTAGGAAATCCAAAGGACAAAGACGAGAATTCGGAAATGTCTGGAATTTACGAAATTAAATGTAAGGACTGCGATGCAAAATATTATGGACAGACAAAAAGATCTGATGAAATGAGATATAAGGAACACTCAGCACACCTAAAATATGGAATACCAGAAAAATCAGCAGTCACCCATCATGTTTTGCAACAAAACTATTCCATAGACTTTAGTTCATTAAGATATCGAGGTGTTATGATATCCAGGTGATCCTTTCGTTTTAAATTTTTCAATAATTTTACTAAAACCGAATTTGTTTCTAGGATATAAGATACATTGTGAACTCTAGGTTAACTTTTTAATATAATTTCGTTTGAATATTGCTGGAGTTTAATCCCAACAACAAAACGTTATTTATTTTAACACCTCGACATGTGTTTCGATCACCAACTGATCATCCTCAAAAGGAAGATTAAACCGGTTTAATCGTAAGCTGTAGTTTATGAAACATAATTTATGTGAATTTTGTTTTTGAATTATCAATTTGAATTCATGAGTGTTACTAGATAAAGACGATTTACTATCTGCATGCCCATTAATGAATGATAAAAGCGTTAAACAGTTGAAAAGTGGTCGAATAATTTTCAATGAGTGTGATTAGCACAGACGAACAAACATTTTATATTTATGAATGAAAAGTTATATCTTTTGGCAATTCATTTCTCACATAAATTTCTAATGACCGTGAATTATATTCTAAATTGATTTTTATTATAGATACTATTGAAAAATAATGGATAAATTATTAGTCAACACTCTAAAGAAACCTCAATATACAGATTAATCGGCGGAAGTTACTGAGATAATCTGGGAACATTTCTCGTTAGAAAAAGAGAGAGAGAGAGAGAGAGAGAATGCCAAAGGATTTCTGCAGAACAATACTTCATAGTTTCTTTCTTGTACAGAGGTTCGAATGATATTTTTAATCATACACACATTGATATTTTTCTTAGTCGAGAAATGGTCCTTATATACATCTGAATTATCTAATTTGAACGAGAATCATTTAGTTAATGGCACTGACAAGTTCACAAGCTGTAATTTGCCTAGGTGAAAAACTGAACTAATTGGTTTATTCACATGATACTAAGTATTTTGATGACGTTGTAGCTATCAAGAGGGGTGTAGACAGTGATGCCGCTCTCTTATCTAAAACGAATAATGAATATACCATGAACACTTGACAATGCGATCCAAAAAATTTGTGGTCAGAATGTGTTATCACAGAGAAATATTAAAAATTCATGTTTCTATTTTTATCTGGTTATCGAAAAACGTCTATCATAGTTCACTTTATTGAATGGTTTGGGGGAGTTTCTTTTTCATTCCAAATTCGACCTCGACACCTCGTTCAAAAGTTTAAATGGGGCTATTAACCTCTGAACAAGTACAATACAAAGTCTACCAACGTCTGTAAGTCAAAAGTTTCGAGAACATTCAGGTATTACATATAGTGTATAGATCAAATGGCTCAGAAATGAAATATTGATTTTTCTAACACCATTAAACTTGCCGAAATAATTTGTTTGTGAAACAGCTGATTAACGGGAAAACAGATTTTAAACAGATTTTTAAACCTTCCGTAGATATATAAAGGCTAACATTATGATTTATTTTCAGTTTATTGTAATTTCTTGAAAATATCTTTATAGGACGGAACTGCAGTAACATTACTTAGTTACAAATAAAAGTGGTTAAAAACATAGGAAGTTAAATTTTTCAGTGTTTCGTAGGGTAAAACAATATTTCAGTATTCATTGTTATTTTATGAAACTTTGGAGGTCTTCAAAATCCAAAAAATAATAAAAATACTATAAATTTATGAATGTAGCCGTTGTTACTACGTGGTGGAAGATCATCATGAAAAATGAGAAATAAAGTTTTCTATGTTTCTTACCACTTTTTAAAAGTGGTACAAAACATAGAAAAATAGTTCAGTACTTTTCTTATCATTCCCATATTGATTTCAATTTAGGAGCCACCGATAGACAGCTGTTTCGACCTGTTGGCCATCGTCAGTACGAGACAGTTGGTCCTCAATTGAAAACAAAATGTGAATAACCAAGAAAAGTAGGTACTTAATTAAAAAAAACTGCGTAAACGCAAGCGAGACATAAGTGGAACAACCTATTGGTGTGATACCCAAGTCAACTTGCCAAGTTTTTATCTCAGTGTTGGTGGTGTGACCAATCAATCGACAGCTGTGGTAGCAGAAATTTGGGAAGCTGTCCTGGAATGCCATCGGAAAACGAATCCACATCTTTCTAGAAATGATATGAAATCGAGAAAGGTTAATGCATTCACTTCCACTTATGTCTCGCTTGCGTTTACGCAGTTATTTTCATTAAGTACTTTTCTTGGTTATTCACATTTTGTCGTCAATTGAGGACTGCTGTCCGATACTAACGACGGCCAACAGGCTGAAACAGCTTTCTTATCTATTCATCCGTTAATTTTCATCGAATTATTTTTCAGTAGCTCGACTGCATTAACCTTTCTCATCATCAGAAATTCCACAATATGGACAAGGAAACAGGTTAGATCTACAAAATCCAACTCCTGCAATAATGAACATTATTATTATTCATATCTATCTGCCTACGAACGTTTTTGATACCTTCAAAACAAAGTTATTCTTTGAAGGTGTACAGAGTTTATGGTTACTGAAAGCTCAGATCAGAAAAAAACATGGAACTGAAATATAATTATTTTTTACCGATGGAGTTACTAAATTTGAGAATAGGTACCGTATAGGATCTATACATATAGCTAGGCTTCAACAAAATCACAATTCGGTGACAGATTTTTCTAAAAAAGTTTAATATGGTCCCATGAAACGAATGAAATAAAAAGAGTATGGAAAAAATGTGCTTTGTGAAACAAAAATTCCATGCAACATATCATTAATATTTGCCAGATAAGTTGTGGGAGGTGAACATTTCGAATTTTATTTCAAAATATTCATTTTCTTGATATTTCATAGTATTCTCCTGAAGACTTATAATTTAATCATTTACTACCAAATGAAGTACTAACTGAATTTTGGAGTAACATATCTTCCTGTCCTATATTTTTTTCATGAAATTTTCGTCTGCCGAATTAATTTCGATATACAGTTGATATTATTGAAGAAAGAGATGAAAATATTTGAATCATGAACCCAAAATTCATTACTGACCGCAGCCTTTCGTCACCCACGAAAAACAAAACATTTTAAAGGTAATCGGATATTCGATGATCTTATACTTGACTCGACAAGTTGGGTTATCTCATTCCCACCCACCCCTATACCATTGTATCCGAGCAGCATATACGGGCAGCATTCCTTAAAAAGTGTTACGAAGAGTCAAAAAGTCGTCCTCTTTTTCTGGGGGGTCAACCACCCCACATTAGAATGCACGTGTATCCCCGTTTCGGTGCAATCACCCTGTCGATTCTCGGTCGCGATCGCTGGCAACACACCCAGCGCTGTAAATTTGGGCCGCTGTTCGAGCCCTCGATGCAAGAGCTAAAATCCAGTCGGACAGACACGTTCAAATCACGGCCAAACGTTCGGTACATCCAGTAAGCATCTGATCGTTTGGGCATCCACAACTCCCAAGGTCACCGCGACCGTGTGGTGGTGGTATTCTCAGCCATAGTTGCGCGCGGGGCTAGCGAGTTCCATTTAGTTACTTGAAGGGTGTACACCACTGTCAGTTGTTTGTAGTCATCCCGCACCCTTTTGGACTCTCGCTCTGGCTACTTCAACAGTGACCTGTCAACTTCGGTGGTGTGTTCTACATGTGCTTCGAGTAAACAATTGTGAGACGTCAGGCACACAGCTTGTTTGCTAAATTACAAGGACGATCTATTGCGTAAGTGTTTTAGAATATAAGCGATTCGCGCACACCCTCATCCACGCGCATGACATAAGCCACCAGATTAGAATTTAAAATAATACCCACTCCGATTCTTATTTTATTCGCCACATGGGACTATATTTAACACACCTACTTTTGAATTTAAATTACGTCGACGGAATTCTTTCCTTACAATAAAACCGTATCTCAGCTGCTTTTTCTTGGACCCCAATTAGATTTCGATTTGAATGGATTTCTCCACAGAAAACACTGCTCGCGACTCTCTAGATAATTTGATCTAACCACAAACCGTGTGAAATAATTTGTACAGGAAGGTATGTATAACGGTGCCTTTATTATATCCGCGGGTATCACAAGGGAAAAACGCGATTGTTGCGCTAAAAACATTCAAAGACTTCGCGGTTCTTTGTACCCCGAGCTACCCCGATAATTTCCGAACCCAACAGAGACAGAATATTTGCTGACATGGCGTCTTGAAGTGTTGTGGTGTTTTAGTTATCCTGTTTGGGGATTTAACCCTTTTGTTTCTATGGTGACACTTAGAAAAGGTAATGCACGAGTGAATTACTTTGGCTTTTGTTTACCTTTTTCTTGAATTCAGGGTCAAACTGGCGTGTCATAAGTCATAAACGTTCGATTTTATTCAGACTAGGGTCGTCGACTCGTTTTACCCTGGCATTCCGAATCAATATATTTCTCTAAATCAATACGAAAACCCTCATCGAGTACCCGCAGCATGAACTAATTCACCCACATTTTCTACTTATCATCACTTGCATGTCTATTTAACTCTGGTTATATTTAAATTTGTTAATTTAAGCAGAGGGTTGCGTAAACTGACTTTCGTATTTCGTGCCATAGTAGGCGGGGTGTCGCTTGCTCGAAAAGTGTATTTTAAATATGGCGTAGGGCTGTGCCATTCGCGCGACGGGGGTTGCCAACTACAATGGAATTATTTTTATTAGCAGGTAATTGGATATTTGAACTACTGAACGCGCTGCTAAAATGTTTATGTTTGATGTAAGAGACTTCTTTTGCGGGAGGGGAGGGAGATGTGATGTAATACGAGTTCAAGACCGATTCCGCTTCTCTATCTGGACACCTGTGTGAATCATATTAATCATGCAGGCCTTGATTTTTAGGCGCCCTATTCAAATATTTCAACTCGCTAAATAACTTTTTTTTCATTTGTATATTTATACCTATTTAGAGAAGAGTACAGTGTTGAATCCCTTCCTTAGTACTGAACTGAAGGTTATGAAATACAATCATCTACAATTAAGTTTTTGTGGTAGTATCTATAGGGTGATTCACTTATAATGAATATCTCCTTTCATTTGGATTTAATGAGATAGTTTGTGGTTGGTTTTACGATAACTTACTTTCCTTATAGTAATAATACATATATGTTCAAAAAGAAGTGCATACACGTGTAATTAAAAAAAAATGTGAACAAAAATGAAAAATATTTCGACGAACAAAGACTGTCGGGTTGAGTTGAAAAAATTAATGGAGGTATCTACCTAATAATTACAACACAAATAACTAACATCTTGGATAAAATACTAATTCTAATTATCTGCATTCCTACTATAAGGAAGAAAATGCTTTCATAACAAATGGTGTGTAAAGGAATGTATGAAAGACTTGGAGAACTTTAATTCGAAACTTTCAGATGTAAACTAAATATGGGTTAGTCCCGAGTGTTTCAAACCATGCTTATTTATATATGTACATATTTAACCTAAAATATTTGAAACATTTTCAACAGAAGTAATGCATCTAAAAACATACATTTTAATTTTCGTTTCCAATTTCATTCCAAAACGCCAATACTCATCACGTATTCGTTATGACATCACATGTTCCCAAACAATTTTTCAAATTTAAAAATCGCCTTAAAAACCATAGATCTTTGAACCTCATGAAAATTTAAAAAAATGTTTAATTCTCAATTGTACATTTTGTTCAAATCAAATCCAAAGCGATACACTTTTTTCAATGGGTGGATTCCATACCATGACTGAAACTATGAAATGGTAAACTTTATTGAGAAAAAAGTTAGTGGCGTACTCACTTATTCAATTCAAACTGGGTATCCCAAATTTAGTTAAAAAGCTATAAGTATAACTTCGTTGGCAGAAAAGTTAGGAAAATGGAACAAAGCCAACTATGAAAGGACAATCTTGAAGCTGTGGTAATCATCACACTTCCAAAGAAATCATCCCTAACTCTCACCCTATCACTTTATTTATGCTTCCAGTTATCAAAGTATTATTTTTAAATTTTTCCCTCCTATTCTGAGTATCTCTCATACACATTCTATAGCATTTAGGCCAGGCTATTCAGCAGGCTAATTCAAATTTTATACTTCAATTGAGATTTTTTTATATGCAAACATGAAGTGGATTACCAAAAAAATATAAATTCAAAGTAATGCTAAAGTGATGTGGTTGTAGACACTCTAGTATGGGAGTAATTGAAAATTTTCCAAAAAGAAATAAAAATTTAAATGTTAGCATATATATTAGTGTTATCGAATTCGAATCAAATTTGGCAATAGTTAAATTACGATTGTGCAACACGTGAAAATGATTCTCATTCGTGAATCACAGGGTGTATATAGCCATTTCGGGGATTACGTATAACTGAAATTGAATTTACTTGTTTTTCACTTTCATGGACTGTCCAAGTTACGAAAAAGGAAACAAAAAAGGCTACATTTTCAATTCGTAACTCTGACAATCATAGTATATCGTGTAGGTTAAAGTATTTAAGAAAATGTTTGAAAAGAAAAAATAAATAATATTGGAAATTCAGATTTCCACTGAATTTTGAATAAAAATTTCAATAGATGAAATTGAAACATTTCAAACTGGGTTATTTCACGACTGTTTAGATCCCAAATCAATGGCTGAGAACGATCGACATAATAATTGATAAAATGGCTGTCACGTGGCGTCTTCACTGCGGCATACATGAGAGAGATGCTTTGAAGGATGGAGTAATTTATACTACATGCAGGAAGAAATTTTGAATTGTGAATTGCTTACCAATGAGCTCACAGTAAAATAGCTGAATTGACAGTTGCGATAAAGGAAATATCAACTTAAAATACTTATACACAACATTTTCCTAAAGAAACCTGTGGTTATTGAGATATTAATTCATTCAAATGGCCATGACAGCGTGCCTTTTTCAGTACCTGAGTAGTTGATGCTTTTCATCTCTCTTTTTTCTAGCCCTATTTGTCTCTCTCTTCGTTTTTCTTTTTCACACAGACAACAATATTAATACGTAAGTATTTTTAAGTTGACTAATTATTCAACCCTATTAATAATAAGCGCACTCTCATTCAGTGTGGGAGCAGCTTCCTTGACTCTTATTTTGAACCGTTTCTCATTATTTATGGACGGTTTTGGTTTCTGACAGCTTGATGTTTCAATTCATTAGATATATGACTTGACAAGTACTAGTAGCCGCTGTTTAGTTTGAAAGTATTTTTTGCAAGATAATTGAAGGCTATATGAGACACGCCCTGTCAGTTTCTCCGATTTTCAAAAGTTCTTTTACCTATAAGACTTAGATGAAGAGATTTGAAGCTATTTTCTATTAGATACATCCTTTCGCACCATTTTCTTTGAATGGCTTTTTGCAGTCATTTAATTGAATCAGAATGATTTACAAGGATGAAAACAATTGATAAAATCCTAAATAATTCGGTATATTATTTGTTTTCGAATAAAGTTGTTATTTTCTCATTGTCATAACCACATTCCTAATATTCGAAACGAATACTCATTTTCATGGAAGGAGCGTGGGAATGAATAATAAACAGTGAATTGGAAAATAGGAAACTCAGTCGATAGACTGGCAAAGCTTCATTAGACACGTTCGTATTTTATATAGGGTGGTGTAGTTGCCTTATGAGGAAATTAATATAACTTGTACACTCGGGAAACTTTTTTTTGAGTTCAAAGGTCAGGAGTGTTTAATGTTGCTATTAATCTTTTGGTATAATTTAGTTTGTCATTTTGAATATCATCAATTATATAATAGTGGTGATTTGTTGAATTTTTATGTAAAATTGTTTTATGTATTTAAAATGTAAATATATTTTCGTTCGAATGATTTTCATGTTCTATAGAAACTTTCACAGAATAGCAAATTTGAATACCATTTCTTTGAACGTCCCATTATACAGTGAGACTTTTTTCTCAATAATTTAAATTTGACTTTGTAGTTTGTTTTTGCTTTGAAAGTAACTGAACACTCCATTGTCATATTTGATATTTTCAAAATGTTCGATACATCGTGTTGCATCTGGAAATTTTTAACAATGCCTAAGAAAAAATTTGTCAATTTTTCAACTTTTACCCCTTCACCAAATTTTTTATTTTTCCATTTTTGCGAATGTAAGTACGTACCATATTTTAGATGAATTATTAAAAATGTGGGATATGAAATTATTCTGCAATTGCGTCCCATGCACCACCGGTAAGAATACCACTTTCCTTTCACCTATTTCTTCATTTATTTATTTGTAATACAATACTCTACAAAACACAGCCCAATTACAGAGCAGGAAATAAAAGAGTATAATAAATACATCACAAACAAGTGACTGTAAAGTCTACAAACACTACAAACAATACAAACAAGTGACTATAAAGACTACACATTTTATATTTATAATAGGTGACAAAAGAATTATTTTAGGAAGTGGGATTTTATATCTGACAATTTGCAACTAAATATATCTAAATTATCGCTAACAGAGTTTGTCACTTTACACATAGTATGGATCGGAGAATTCTCCAGAACATTTGTGCGAGATGTTTTTATATAGAAAGTACTCGGGTGTCTGGAACAGATTCTAGGAATGCAAATATTAAATTTTTCCAATAATGTTGAGCAGTCAACTATGCTTTTGATAATTTTATAGGTTATGTTAGGTTGGGTCTAAAGTGAGTGGATCTATTCGATCCTCCACC